TAAAAGTAATCGTTCAAGAAGAATAATAACTAATCATTTGACTTAAATGATAAAAGCAATCATTCAAGAAGAATGATAACTAATCATTCGACTTGAATGATAAAAGCAATCATTCAAAAAGAATGATAACTAATTGTTTGATTTGAATGATAAAAGCAATCATTCAAGAAGAATGATAACTAATCATTTAATTTAAATGATAAAAGTAATTGTTCAAGAAGAATGATAACTAATCGTTCAACTTGAATAATAAAAACAATCATTTAAGAAGAATAATAACTAATCATTTGACTTAAACAATAAAAACAATTGTTCAAGAAGAATGACAACTAATTGTTCAACTTAAACAATAAAACAATCATTCAAGAATAACAATAATTAATCGTTTACTTTCTTTTCCCCTCCCTCCTCCTGATCTTTTCATTTTTTTTTATTATTTTTTTTTTAAAATCAAATTGAGTTAAAATTGAGTCAAGTCAAATTGAGTCGAGTTTAAAATTTATATAACTCGAATCAAATCAAATTGAAAGATTTTATAAAATAAATTTGACTCGACTCGATTCGAAAAAAATGAGTTGAATAGAGTTGGTCTTTAAACTCGACTCGACTCGACTCATTCGGAACTCTATGCATGTGAGCGTGTTGAGCTTTCTCTTCAACTATCAAGCGTCCTTCAAGTTCCTCATTAGTTACTTCACTTACTCTGCATTACTTTCTTTCTCGATCCTATATCAATCATTTCTCATGTTCTTCATTGGTCTCTTCACTTACTCTGCGTCTCTTTCTTTCTCAATTATGTGCTAATCGTTTCTCACGTTCTTCATTAGTCTCTTTACTTGCTTTGCGTCTCTTTCTTTCTCAATCACGTGCTAATCGTTCTTCACGTTTCTCATCAGTCTTATTAGTAATTTTTATCTTTTCCTTTTCTGATCATATACTAATGAGTTTCTTTCATATCAGTTAGCATATTCTCTTTATTCTCTTTACGATTCTTAAGATAATTTAGAAAAGAAATTATACATAGATACATTTAAACATAATTATATTTTTATTAATCTTACCATTTTATATTCTGGCGTAATTTAAAGTTTATTAGAAATACAAGATTAAGTCAGATGAAATAATGTCTGAAATGTATACAAAAATGCTCACAATTTTGCTCATAAATAAAGAGAGAATTTCGATTAAGTCACAATCACATAATTTACATATTATTGTTTTAGTTAAGGAGACGTATTATAGCTTTTTTTGAAAAAAACAATGTAAATTTTCGATTTTTTTACATGCAAAATCATTGTTGAGCATATTTTTTTATAATTTCAGATAAAACAATGTGCAAATGTATCATTTTTGGTTAGAGATGTTATGACTGTATTATAAAATTTATTTATGTTTAAAAATTTAACAATTTCAAAATTTTTATATTAATATATATAAATTTATACATTTATTTTAATAATAACATAATGGACTTTAATGGTTTTCGTTTTCTAGTTATATAGTAAAAGATTATACTGCTATTCTTTTTGTCAGTAATTATATATATAGACTTATAGTGTTTTACTATTCGCTTACTCAATTATTGAATTAATGATAATTAACCTTTGCAATTACATAAAAATCTAGATAAACCAATACTAGTATAAATTTTTTAATTAAGATCATTCTGAACTTAATAATAATTCCTATTCTCTAGTTTTATTCTTTATTTTATTTTCCTTAAGAATTTTATTTAAAACTTTCTGTTCAGTTATTTATAAGTTCATTATTTAATTTATTTTCTATATATATATTTTAGTTATAATTATTTATTTTCCTTTCGTAAAATATTAATTATTAGTTTTCCATAAATATATTAATAATATATCATTCTTATTATTTATTTATTCATTTTTTAGCTTATTTTATTATTTTGAAATATTATTTTATAATTAATAATTATATTAAAAATTAGGATAACCCTATTATTTCTTTTAAATATTAAATTTATACTTAATTTCTCTTTATTATTATATGATTTAAGTTATATAATTAATTGATTTATATAATATTTTTTTTAAAAATTTGGTAGTTTTGTAATATCTTTATTATGATAAATATAAATTGAAAAATAAAATTAAATAAATTACAAAATCAAAAAAAATACAAAATCTCATTAAATCTAATTAAGGATTAATAAAAAAAGATTGACTCTATACTTCCTGAATCAAACTTAATCTAAGCTAAGACTATCACTTTCTGACAAACAAAACTCATAAGAACATGATTACTACTATACTAAAAATTCAACTAATGGATTATGAAAATAATTAGATTACTACTATTAGAAAGAAAAGGTAAATTAGATATAAGAATGTAATTTAAAGAAAGAAAATTATCTAATTTGAATTGAAGATTAATATAAGAAGATTTTTGAAAATCATAAATGATTGAGCAACAATCTTTTCATATGGTATGAGTTGTTTCAAAAATAAAGTACATAAAAAAAGAATAGGCAATAGAGGTTAAATAATAAAATAATAGTTTATTGTAATGAGTTATATAGAGAAATAGGAATGATTCCTTTAATAAAAGATGAGGAGTTATAGGTATATAGTATCTAACATTAACAGATTTACATAATAAGATTTTTACTTTTATTTATATAAAATTTAATGTTAATTAATTTATAAATTATTCTTCTAATTTTTATTATTTCTCTAATATTTCTATTTTTCATTTTTTATTATAAATTTTAAGTTTTATTCTTTTTTACTAATAATTTTAATTCCTTTTCTTTCATTAATATTTTCTAATATTACATTATTTTTTATTAATATTTTTAAAATTATATTATTACTTTACTATTATTTTCTATTAAATCACATTTATTTTTAAATTTCATTAACATTTCTTATAATTTTTAATTTTAATTCTTATATTTTCTATTATTTCTAACTTTCATTTTAATCTCAATTTCTATTTCTTTTTCAAATTTTTTTTCTTATTTTCTGTTTTCCTTCTCGTTTATTATTTTAACAATTATTATATATTCTTATTATATATTATTATTATATATTCATATCTCTTAAACTATAGAGCAAGCAAATTTACTATGAATATAAAAAAAAGTATTAATTTTTAATAAAATATAATTATTATATAAAAAATATAGTTTAATATATTTTTTTATCAACTTTATTAGAAGAAATTTTAAGTTTATTAAGGAGTATTTTGAATAATTCAATTATAAAAATTAAGTTTTGAAAATTTTATTATAATAATTTTTAAAATTTTCTTAAAATTCATATATTTGCAAACTAATTAAATCACTTTACTATTAATAAAAGTCAATAAATTTCTTAATAAATTATAAAAATTGTAATAATTAAAGTTATTCTTCAATTCAAAAAAGTTATTTTTACAAAAAAAAGAGAAAAAGAGCATTAATAAACATATCTAGAGAAATCTATTTATCTTAAAAATTAATTTTACTTACTATTCTCAATTTCACTTTTAAGAGAAAATTTAAATTTTAAAGGTTCAAGAAAGCTGTTTTTATAAAAAAAAAAGGAAAGTAATGTTAATAAATGTAATGCATTTACTTCAAGCCTGCATTACTTATTTTTTCTAATTACAATTTCAAGAGAGTCCAGAAGTCTAAAAGTTTAAAAATGCTATTCCTACAAAAAAAAAGAAAAAAAGAAACATTAATAAATATTTCTGAAAAAACACATCACTCTAAGCCATATTATCAATCCTAATTTCTAATTTCAAGAGAATTCAGAAATCCCAAAGGTTCACAAGAGAGCTGTTCCTATTAAAAAAAAGAAAAAGAAATGTTAATGAATTTTTTTAAAGAAACACATCAACTCTAAGTTTGCATTACTAATTCTAATTCCCAATTTCAAAAGAGTCCTGAAGTCTCAAAGGTTTACAAGAGTCGTTCTTACAAAAAAAAAGAAAAGGAATGTTAATGAATATTTCTAGAGAAATACATCTTTATGATAATACTAAATCATAATTTGTAATTTATTAACTTTTTGGTATGATATAAGACAAATTATATAAGATTTATATAAGATGAAAAAATGTTAATAATACAATTTAACGTTTTTTTATCATTTTAATGATAATTTTTGTTTAAAAAATATATATAGTAATTTCAAGTTATCAAAATTATAATGTTTTTATAACTTTAACAAAAAAATAAAAAAAAATATCAATATATAATAAATGTAATGAATAAGATTTAATTTTTTTATTTTTTTTTTTAATAATGTATGTATATATATATATATGATATTTGAGTTTCCAATAAATCCAAAAATGAAATAAATTGGAATTCATTTAATCGAATTGTACTATTTAACAAGAAATAAATAAGAATAAATAAATAAATAAAAAATAATAATAAAAAAAAAAAAAAAAATACAATTAATTTTAATATAAGGCAGACTTTTTTTTTTTTTTTAAAGAAAAAAAAAATAATAATAAAAGGAACCAAAAATTGATCAAAAAAAAATTATATATATAAAACAATAAACAATAAAAAAATCTACAAAAGAAAAATAGAGATTTGGTTAATTGAGATCCTCTAATTAAAAAAAAAAAAATTGAAATGAAATCGTAAGAAATAATTTAATTATCGTAGTATAATAAAATAAATAAATAATTAATTAATTAATATAAAAGAGGACTCAAATAACCATAAAAGAAAAGAAAATAAAAATACAAAAATAAAATAAATTAAATAACGAAACAATTACAGATTAATTAATTTTTGCTTGATACATACCATCTAACTACCAGTATTGGCAAATAACCCTAAAATGACCTTGAAATGATCTCAATGGACATCATTTTTATTTTAAATTTTAGGTCAACAACGACCAAGGTCATTTGAAAATAATAAAATGATTTTCTATCACTGCCAACTACTGCTACATTAATTATTATTTTTTTAAAGTTTACAAATTACTAATTAACTCTAAATTTTTTTTTTTTTTTTTTTTTTTTTACTATTCTGTAATCCAGAGGCTTGCTTTTTTTACATATTTATCTGTTAATACTCCTAAATCTTTTACTACGAATCTACAGATTACATTACCAAAAAAATCTGCAAATTTGTGAAGCCGTGCAACAATTTGTTTGTGATGTTGATGATATGGTGCATTTAAAGAAGAAAAATGACGTATGTAATTCTCTATTCAAAAAATAAACATTCATATTAGTTAAGAGAAAATAAATAAAAGAGACCTCTTTTTTTAAACACGGGAAATCACATTTGTTTATTTACCTACAACTCCTGCTTGTTGAAAAACTTTTAATAAGACTTCTACATAACCACTAGCTTCTTCAGTGCGAACCATAGCGTTTCCCATACCCATCCGATCAAGACCACGAGATAATTTAGAACCCCAATTCATTAATGAACTCGTGCTTTGTCGACCTTTACCATTAGTCGATTCAATGTAATTTAATTTACGTGCTAGAGAATTCTGAAGGCCCTCTAGAATGGGATCAATATACTCCAGCTCCTTTCAAACAGAAATATAGATTGAATATGATATATATATATATATATTTTGAAGCATAAAAAGGGTAAAATCATAGCTAAAAATACAAACCTTCGCTAAGTTATCCATATCATTAAACGTGGTTTTTGTTAATTTCATTAAACAGGTCGATACGACCTCACAACTAGATATTTTAGTATCTATTGCAGCTAACTTGACATGTCCTTGTAACCATAAATTTCGAGGAATAAATAATTTCGGAGTTAAATAACCTCCCGTAGTCATTGTACGTTCTAGCAATTTCATTAACCAAAATGGGTTTAAATGAAGGTCATTGGGTGAGGGTTCGAATAACCTGTTATTAGATGACATATGTGGATCATCATAAAAAAATGTATTTGGGAGAGGATTTGATAAGCAACCCGAATAACTTGCATCATTATGTTTAGATGATGATGATGAAGGCGTCTCACTACGAAACATTCCCGACGGGGGACCAAATCCAGGACTACCCAATGGAGGTGAAATAATACTAAAACTGTTCATCCAAGGGGAAGACGGAGTTCCCGGTATTGGTGCTAACGGATTAGACGAAGATTGGGAATTACTATTAAAGAAACGGACTGAGCCGGTTTTTTTAGGAGTATTTCCAGGATTTGAAGCAGCTCTTCTTGGAAGGACGGAGTTGTTTGGAGTAGCTACCAGATTTGGATTAGAAGGTGTACGAGTAGGCACTATGCGAGAATTTTGTGGAGCTAATGGAAGAGGAGCAGGACGACGACCCTGAGGTAAAGCTTTGCTAAGCAATTTTTCCATAGATGAGGATGAAGGACGAGTAAATGAATTGGGAACAGATTTTACAGATACTTTATCGTCGTCTTCATCGGACATTGTCTGTGACGATGAACCCAACATCGATTCATTTACAGTTTCGTGTAATGAAGCTGAGGAGGGAGCATTAGGTTGTTTAACCACAGATGGAGGTGGTACTATGGTTGGTGAAGTAGATCTTCTTCCCATCAATGCACTCTTATCTGGAGGAGAAAATACTGAAGCTTCATTCTGACGAAATTGATCGCTTGGACTAGGTGGTGTGGTAGGAGGAGCGATTTTTGGTGGTGGTGGAGGTACGAATAAACGATTACCGATGGAAAGTCTTAATGATGATGATCTCGATAATGAGTTAGCTTGTGAGTTTTCTTTTTCCATTCCCGTTTTTTCTTGTCGTTGTGATGAAGAAGAACCTTGATTTTGGTAACTCGAGTTTTCTTCCATGATCTCTGAACTTGCACCATACGAATCAGAATTTTGTAAATAGTCATTAATGGCAGAGTCGATATCTTCAGAACTAGAATCTAAGTCCGAAGACCTGGAAGTAGATTCTCCATTATCACTTGAATCAGCGACGGGCTTTGCACCGTCCACGTCCACGGTAACCTCATATATTGACGCCGGTGTCGTTTTGTCAGATACAAAAGATTTCATTGAAATCCAGGATCTTGAAGTTGAGACCGAAGTGTTTGATCGATGTGACAATAGTGATAATCTTTTAGGCTGAGGTGTAATGTAATCCACAGTATCATTACGATTATGATGATCTACGCCATTTGTGAGGATAGTTTCGTTGACGAGATGCGTTTCATTATTATGTGAATTGTCTATCTTCGTATCAACATTTTGTTGTATTATTACTGATGAAGAAGATGATGATGATGACGATGATGATGATGATGATGATGATGATCGCTCTACCTCTACAGATTTACCATTAATATCTCGTATCATAGATGAACTTGATGTTATTTCATTACCATCTGTTTGAGAGTCATTTTCTGATACAGATTTTTGCCCAATAGAATCTGCCCTGTGAAGTGAATTAGCATTCACGTTTGAATCTTTGGAATTTTGTGTTGTAATATCATTATCGTCATCATTCTGGTCTGAAGAAATCAAATCCTTCTCGTTATCGTTATCTGCCGAATCAACTATAGTGGATAATAATCGTATCCGGTCAGCGTATGTGTCATGCTAGTGATAAACAAAGAATGATGATAAATTAAAAAAATAAAAATAAATAAAAAAGAATAAGAATAAAAAAAATAAAATAAAATAAAATAAAATAAATCATAATAATAGTAATAATATACGAGTTCTTTTTAAATAAAAATATAAAATCAATTGAGATGAAAAAAACTTGGTTACAAAGATCAAATAAAATCTTGTTTAATACAATTGCAACATGCCACACACCATTAACCCCCAAAAAATTCCATTAAATTAATCTAATCCCTTCCCATAACAATTAATTTAAAACCTCCCCATTCAAAACTTCAAAGTCAGTTAATAATGAAAATATAATTAAATAATTAATATAAAAAAATAAATTAAAAGAAATTAAAAATGTAAATGCACTCACAATTAGTTGTAACCTCCGACGATCTGGCTCGTTAACAGCTTTATCTATAACTTGAAACAAAAGTTCCACCGTTTGTTTATACGCGTCCAACGCGGCAGCAACATTATTTGCAGCATCGAATTGTACAGCAGCCTGCGCTTTTTGAAGAGCTATTGACAAAATGGATTTAGACTGTGTTCGAGGTGAAGGAGGATTTCTTTGTCTTGAACTAGTTGGATGAGGGGTGAGATGATGGGAAGTAGTATTTGTTGCCATGGTTTATATTATGTATTGTAAACGGGGTGTGATTTTTATATTTATATCGGTAATAAAGGTGGGTATTAATCGTTACTTTAATGTTCGTTTAAAATACAAGGTGTATGTTTTTTTTTTTTTTTTTAAAAAAAAAAAAAAAAAAGGGTAAAAAGGGGGAAGAATTGTTTGTATGTGCAGCTTTATTTTGTTCTCGTCTCTACCGGAAGTCCGAGTGTACGGATTTTTTCTTTATGAAAAGAAAAAATATTTTATAAGCAACCATACGCCAGCCTAGCAGCGTTAAAGTGCAATCTAAAAGAGAAGAAAATAAAGAATAGTGAAAGAGGGGTTAAAATGCTTTAAAAGATCTCTCGGTTTTGTATGGTTCAATACATGACGAGAAAGAAAAAAAAGCTTTAATGAAGAATATGCAGAACAAAGTGTTATGTTAGTCAAAGTATGTAAGTAGTTGGGACTTGGAGGGGGATTATTTGTCGAGCGACACAAACAACAAAACTTTATGAACCGAATTACCGTTAAGGAAACCATGCGAATGTGGCAACAATGCCTAAAACTACAAAAATTTTGAATTACGAAATGTAGTATCCATAAAACATTAAAGCATATAAAGTATACAAACATTCTTATTTAGGCAATTTTAAAAGCGGAATTCAAAAGAAAATCTTTTAAACTAATTGGTAAAAGTAATATAATATTAGTAGAAAGGTAAATCTTTGTCTTTAATTTCGTCTTACCCAAATATCAAGGTTACGACATGATTTGGTTAAATTATGTAAATTATGTAAAGTTATTCATTTGTTGTACTTAAATTAATGTCATGCCACTACTTTTTTTTTTTTTTTTTTTTCTTTCTTCTTTTTTTAAATTTCTTTTTCTCTGACCCCCCCCCCCCCATCCACAAGGTAAAGAGGGGGAAAAAAAAAAAATAAAAACCAATCATGCATGAAGTTTTTCCGTAGTGAGATTCTATTAACCATGAAAAAAAAAAAATAATAATAATTGTTTGTTTGTTCTTTATCATAAAATAATGCAGTTATCAGTAATGCTATGATTTATTTGACATCCATATTCAGTTCATTAAATGAAATAAAGTGTGACTCGAGCATGTACGAACGGATTTTGGATCGATTCTAAGATTTACAACTAGCACAAAAAAATAAAAATTAAATTTAAATTGAGGACCAATTAAAAGTTTCGAAATATGTTCGTAACCAAAATTAATTAAAATTTAAGTATAATTATGATGTGCAATTTCTCCGATCCTATAACGCATCTTTTTGTTTGCTTATGTAATCCTTGATTTTAGCTAGCATCTAAAAAAAGGACTTAGCCATGTATATCATCTTCCGTGTATCGTCAAAGCCTCCAATTTTGAATTAATCTATACTCTCGCAAAGCCTCGGGTTCATGCAAATCTGTTTTTTTTTTTTTTTGAAAATTCCGATCCTATCCGCATGTAACGCAAAAGCAAAAGCCTCCCTTTTGAGTTTTTAAACTTAAAATCCCAAAGGTTGTTGATTCGAGGGCATTTCGAAAATGGATTACTTAACTAATAAAACATGCCCGAGGATTAATAGATCAGAAGATTTAATATTTTTTGATCAATCATCAGAAAATTTATTATTATCTTGTAGGTGAATACTGAGAAACTTTATAATGTGGACCATTTCAAATGAATGATTAACGTATTTTTTTTAGTGCATACCATAGGATGGATGACGGCGTCACTGTTTACCTTACTATCTTGTTTACTTACATTTTGGTTAATAAGACAACATGTAAAAAATTACACCAAGGTAAAATAAAAATAAAATAAAAAAGATCATGTTTTCAAAAGGATTAAATAAAATAACCACTTGACCAAAAATTCTACGTTATAAATGACAGCCTGACGAACAACGATTGATTATAAGATTGTTAATGATGGTTCCAATTTATACGATATTCGATTTGCTAACGTATTTTTTTATAAGACAATCAGTTTACTTTGCAACAATAAGAGATTTATATCAAGCAGCCAGTATCATATCATTTTTTAATCTTTTATTAGAATATTTAGGATCATCAGAGCATATCCGTACAATAAAATTATCAAGGGTTACTTCCACCCCGGCTCCTCTTCCATTTTGTTGTTGCTCGTTTAATCCATCAAAACATACCTTATTATTACCAGGATTGAAATTAGGTGTATTACAATATGTATTGATATTTTATTTAACAACCTTAATCGCTTTAATATTACAATTCTTGGGCGTGTTTTGTAAAGAAAGCTGGAGTATTTATTTTCCTCAAATTCATTTGGTATCGGTGCAAACTGTTAGTTCTCTGATTGCTAATTTATGTTTGGTGGGTATTATTCATTCAAATCAATCAAAGTTTCAATGATTTTTTTTTTTAACATTCTCCCTTTTTTTTGTTTTTTAGAACTTTTTTTTTCGAGCCGTGAAGGATGAGTTGTCTCGTTATCAACTGATCTTAAAAGATATTTGCATCAATTGGGTAATTCAATTCGACAATATTAATTAATTGCGTATTCGTCCTATAAAGTCCAAAGTTAATTCAACTTTCAATAGGCACTCTTCTTTGTCACTTATCAAGAACACGCGTTAGCCATAGCCGTTTTCGTGGGTACGTAGATCAAAATAAATTTTCATTAAACGAAAAAAAAATTGATTTTTAATGTATATATGTATGTTTATACACATAGGACTCATAAGGCCAACGGATAATTTGTAAGTGTATGCATATATCATTTACCTTCCAAAAAGTATTCACAACTTTCTTTTAACAAACCGAACCGAATTTTTCTTTTTTTTTTTTTTCTTTTCGCGTACTAAAAGGACGGCCGATGATATATCGACAGCGATTCAGTCAGTGTTGGTGTCGATAGAATTCTTTTTCCTATCCATACTACAATTAAAGGCATTCTCTGCTGCGGAATACAGTTCGATAACCGGCAATGCCTTGTCATCGCCTAATAATTCATTTTCTTACAAATCGATGCCACCTTATACAACTCTAGAAGTTTTATTAGATGCTTTAAATCCTTTTGACACTATAATAGATTTAATGTATGTGGTAAATTTTATCTTTAAACATATGATAATGAGAAGGCCTGAACCCGCACCACCTCATCATGAAGTTAAAAGATTATCGAATTTAAGATCTGAACCTGATTTGGTTCCGATGATTTCGTGTATAGATTTAGGTGAAAGTAATAATAATTGAATAGCAGTGAATGAATACAAAGATGGAAAGAGATTTCAAAAAAATTTTTAACGAGAACATTTTCTTAATATTGTGTGACCTGATCATCTAGGTGATTGGCCGAATTTCCACTTCCGATTTTTGGAAGATTGTAAATAAAAAAAAAACAAGAAATTTTCTACTTTTTCAAATATTTTTCAAATTTAGAAATTTTTTTATCAATTTTAAAAATAACACACATGGTAATTTATAGTTTTAAAACGTGAGGATCTCGGATGTTTATCATGCAATAATAAAAAGAAAAATGATCGCCCGTGATAAAATATGAAACCCGTAAATTTTAAAATTTTTTTTTTTTTTTTTTTTTGGATCCTGTCCAACAATATTGCGGAATTCTATTACTGGATAAAATAATACCGGTTTTTTTTTTTTTTGAAATATTTTTAATTAAGCTGTCGGAAGAGGATTGAATCGTATGTATCCGGTCCGGTAATAAACTTTTGTAATGTGATTTCCTTTTTGAAAGGAAAAAAAAAGCACTAGAAAATTTTAGAAGTAAACGGCAAACCATGATCAATCAATCAGATCCTTTTCGCACTACTACCCGAAGCATCTCCCGTTAAACATCTTTATCAAATGCATACAGTACCCTATGGGTTAGATTAAGTAGTACCCCGACTATTTCGGATTATGCAAAACTTAATTTTGGCCAAAATATCAAATTTCGGCCAAATTTATGCGGGGTTACTATTAAAGACATCAGCCACGATGAATAACAATAACATTGTTCGTTATTTCCTTTGATTACGTAAGATAAAATAGGTAATTAAGGATGTGATTATTTTGATTTTTTAAATTCTTTAACTAAAGCATTATCTTAGGAAACGTAATCGGAGTTAATTACAATAACCTTATTATTATTCACCGTTATTATTATTTCTAATTTTATTATTATATATAAAAATTTATCCACGTGTAAAAATTCTTTTGAAATTCCTTATTACATACATAAAGTGAATTGTTTAAAGGGTAGATTTAGATAAGCATTTCAACAATTTTTTTTTTTTTTTACTCTTGGACAGTTTCATCCAGGGCAGTCCTCCTTCTCCTTTGATCACAATCCGACTAATAAATACTTCAGCTTATGTGTGTCCAACTGAAATATCCGATAGTCTATTAGTCATCAATGTCTTTAACAAAATTTCTCCCATTAAACTTATCATCTAAAAGCAAAGACGATAAGTAACGTAACGTCCACTAGTTTCGCTAGGTCTCATAATCTTAAAAACCTAAACAAATAAACATGAATAAATTAATTACGGTATTCATTCTTCCAATTATATCATATGAAACCAATGTCTATCTGGAAAACTTACTTGTCCTCTTTTCAAACCATAATATTTTGCAATTGGATCCGTTGCTTGTACACGTGGCAATTGGGTTTCCTTTAACCGGCTGATAACAAAATTAATTGGTATAATTAGTTAGTTTAAAAAAGGAAAATCGCATCGCGGATTTAGAAATATCTACACTTACTATTTAGCAAGCAATGTTTTCTTTTCTTCGTCAGATAACACGTAATGTTTGGGTACAAGCTGATGAGATGTAATATTGATCATCAAATCCGCTTCTGAAAACGTATCAACCTCGTAGTGTCTAGTTTCTCGCATATTTATAGCTTGTATTGCCTATTTGAAAAATGAGATGAAAAAAGATTGACACAAATACCAAAAGATCTTATCGTAAATTTGCATATTTATTACCTTATTAGCAGCTGCAGTGAGTGTGCCAGGGAAAACAATGATACCACGATTAACTTTTGAATCAATCATTCGTTGGCATAAGCTAAGTTATTACATAATAAATTAGAAAAAGAATTTCACAAATTTAGTAATATTTTGTTTGTCACTTACATTTTCAGGTATTTTACACCAACAGGTTTTTCGTCAGGAAAAGTTACAAGCAATTGTTCATTTGGATTATCATTCTTTTGAACCTGAAACATCATAGATTCTTTACTTTTTAATAACAAGGTATGATTGAAGAATTAATTGTGTTTAGACCAATTTTACTAATTAAATTTTATTGAAGATGAATCAAAAAATAAAACTTACACAATCAACCCATTTTTCATACATCGCTCTCGAAATAAGCTCAGGTCAGTATGTGTATCGTGGTTAATGACATAACCCTATAGAAAAAAAAAAAATTAGTAAAAATCATAAGTTTTTTGGAACCTTTAATAAAATAAATACCCGCTCTTTGACCATTTCGTGTACTGTACGGTAAACACGAAAAAGGCGAGCTATTTCTGAATCAGAAGTACTAGGATCTTTGGAATCCCTATCCATTTTTACGAATTAAGCGAACAAACAAGACGTGTTACACTCAATTTTCTGATAATTATTATAATTACCAAGAAAGGTATATGTTACGTAACTATTATATAGTTTGGCTGAACAAATTATTTAAAATAAATGATGAGGTACAAGATATATTTTGGATAGATTCTAGGAAATCGTCAGATTAACCCAGGTTCAATCTTTTAATTTTTTCTTTTCTAAAAGAAATTTGTTCCCTAGGTATGATAATTTTTTTTTTTTTTTTTTAGCAGCTCAAATAGCGCTATAAATAATTTAAATCGTTATAAAATAAAATGTATTTTGTGTGCTCTATCTTGAGATATATTTAAAAATTTTTGCTTTATATCTAAATTACGTAATTTTAAGATATTGTATTTGTTTTATATTTTATCGTACGAATTTTAAAACAGTTCATAAATAAATAATTTTACGTGATGCCTCCTGAAACTTCGCAAGAACGTGAGCCTCTTCTCGACGAAGGTTCTCGCAATGAGGGACCATTTGCTTTTACCCCAGAGCAATTTAGTAAATTGATAGACCCAAAAGATCCAGACTTGCTTAAGCAATATGGTGGCACGAAAAAAATTCTTGAAGGATTGAGAGTCGACCCTGCTGTCGGTATTAGCTCTGATGAAGGTTTAGAATCTGGCAGTCCAAAGAGCAAAGCTTTTCAAGAAAGACAGAAAGTTTATGGTAAAAATGTAAGTTTAATAAATCGAAATGTTTTAATCATTTTTTTAATTAGAAATGATAAGATGCTTATGGGTCGATCAAATTTACATTATAGATCTTACCAGAATCCGCACAACGATCCTTGTTTTCATTGATTTGGGAAGCATATCAAGACAAGACATTAAGTATGTATAGGTGAACTGTTATAGATGATCTCCAACTAGATTCGTTACATAAAGCTAAGCTTTATTAATGTCGAAAGATCCTTGGAATCAAAGATTTTTTAAAAACCTATAACTTTGAAATTTCACAACCGAGCAATTTTTGAGTGTTCATAAAGTTCATTCATAAAATCGTCAAAAAATAATCTTGGTCCATATATTTTCCATTATAATAATAGTCTTGTTGAGTATTGCTGCTATTATATCTTTGGCTATCGGTATCAATGAGGATTATTCTTCCCGCCATCCTGAAGGTGAACCTCGTGTTGGATGGGTTGAAGGTAATATAATGATCTATTTGTGACGATTTACTTTCAATTATAAGACAAATTAATCATTTCATATTTACGTCAAATATAAAGGTGCTGCTATTCTCGCTGCCGTTGCAGCGGTAGTGTTTACTAATGCTATTAATGATTACCAGAAGGAAAAACAATTCAGAAAACTTAATGCTAAGAAAGAAGATCGTACCGTTAAGCTTATTCGCTCTGGAAAAGAACAACAAATCTCTGTTCATGAAATTAATGTTGGCGATATTCTGGTAAGTGAGAATATCGTTTCATAACCTTTTCTTTAGACGTATATTTAACGCCTTTTTATTTATAGCTTCTTGAACCTGGTGACATTGTGCCTGTAGACGGTATATTTTTGAGTGGTCACAATCTTACTTGCGATGAATCAAGCGCAACAGGTGAATCTGATAACATTAAGAAAGGCACCGTAGAAGCTGGGTTGGATCCATTTATTTTGAGTGGTGCCAAAGTTCTCGAAGGTGTCGGCAAATGTGTTGTCATTGCTGTTGGTAAATATTTTTCTGTTTGATTTCACCTTTGATATGTTATAAATAAAAAGTTTAACAAATAACAATTTCCTTCAATTAGGAATCAATTCGTTCTTTGGTAAAACTATGATGGTAAGTGAAAAATTAATTAGTTATAACTCTTAAAATTATTGCAGCTTATAACCCAACCTGTTCCTTTAGGCACTACGCGGTGATGAAAGCAAAGAAACTCCTCTTCAAATTAAATTAGATATTCTAACTGAACAGATCGCAAAATTGGGTGTTTCTGCTGCTTTACTCATGTTGATGTATGTCTTGGAGTTTCATTTATTATGTGCCATTAATATCTCAACTAATTTGTTTGTACATTACACTTCTCTTCAGTACTCTCATTATAAAATATTTTATTGCTGCTGCTATTTCCGACGATGAATTCCCTGATATTGAAACAATTTTAACACACATGATTTCAATAGTTATTCAAGCTATTACCATTGTCGTTGTTGCTGTACCCGAAGGTGTAAGTAATCAATACTATTATTTCGAATGAATCATTTCTGCGAGTTATTTGCTTAATCAAAAAAAAAAATTTTTTTTATAGTTACCGATGGCTGTCACACTTTCTCTTGCTTACGCCACTACTCAAATGTTGAAAGATAATAACTTGGTTAGAGTTTTATCCGCTTGGTAAGTTCTATTATTATGTAATATTTTATGTCAAATTTTCAAGACTAAAGGCTAATTGATAAATTGATAAATGGATTTAAGTGAAACCATGGGTAATGCTACCACTGTCTGCTCAGACAAAACTGGTACCTTGACTCAAAATAAAATGACTGTAGTTGAAGGAGTCATCGGTAAAATGAAATTCGAAGACCAAAGTGAAATTCCTGAATGGAAAAATCAAGTTGATGTTTCAACTTATGATACTCTTATTCAAGGAATAGCTATCAATTCCTCTGCTTTTGAAGATAAGGACGAAAA